TGAAAAATTAAGTCTAATAGGCTGAACACAAGAGAAAAAGATGGACCGATAAGCTCAAATCGATTCATAAAGCGAGTCTTAATCGATCTGTATAACAGAAGAAGGATCCATCTCCAGTCCTTCTGGGTGTTGCATACTGAATATGTTTAAATACCCCAAGTTGTGTTGGATATGGAAACATTACGATATCGCTGACTACTGCTAGGGTTGCGCAAATAGAAACGCATAGTTTTATGTATTAGATACAAATTGAGTTAAGTATCCTGCACACAAGTATGATTTCAATGGCGGAAGAGATTCTAGTTTTCAAAAGGTTTTCATTAGTCAGAAATTTGCATATATATACAGGCTTACGGTAAAAAGGGATAATGAACTCAATGATATGCCACTTTAAATAAAAAAAGACTGACAAGGAAAGTATTCAAGATCTAATTTCATGTAAAATAATTTTTATACCCTACATCATTTTTGGTAACTGTATATTAAGTTTATGCGGCCGTCAGCAATACATAGAAGAGTTTACCAATCGGCTAAATTCATTTTAAGATTGTCTGGTCGCATATAAATCCCTCAATGTCTGAAGGCTTTGCATTTTACCCAATACCTGTAAGGCACTTCCAGACATTCTTCTCTCCGTCTGTCTATCTATGCAATACCTATGGTAAACTGTTTCCTGGTCACAAAAATGGAGATATCGGCTTCAAAATTTGCAAAAAGGCCGAAACATCCTGCGGGCAGGTTGATGTTGTTACTGATCACACTCGGTCGATAATGCAATGTAAAGGGCGATCATCTCTCATTCCAAAAATAAGAAAATGTTGTTGTCATTTCTTTTACACAATTGTAGCAATACTAATTTTCGAGTATCTTTTACGGATGATTCTATATTTTCCGCATAAAAGAAGAAAAATTCCGCTGCTTAAGCTTATAGAATATTCAAATTTCAGTTTTTTGTCGTTTTTTGAGTAAAAAAGTTTCGCCTACAACCGAATATAATTTCTTTAGTTTTATAATAGACGTTTATTTATAAGTATTCATTTGCAATAGTTTTGTTTGCCATATTTTTAATTTTCAATTTTGCTTAAATCACCTAATTTGAAAAGTTTTAATTCATGAAATTCTTATCGTTTTCCACTCAATTTGAGTGCTATTGCTTTTCTAGTAAATTAAATATTACTTATACGCAAGGGCGGCATTTCCAAGAAAGCAGTGATTACAATACCAATGTACACATGAAACGTATTTATTAATGAATAATTTGTTGTTAGAATGAGAAATTAGAATTAAGTCGATGAACGGCTTGTCACGAATCTGTAAAGTCAGTACGTACAATATATGTTCACATGTACATATTTGTTTTCTTTTGTAGACAATATTTCCTTAGCAGGAGTAAAAGTTATTGCAGCTTAATTTAATTGAACATTAACTGAACAGATCAGAAGATCCGAAGTATAATACATTTTACAACACTTAATATCGAGATATTTGCGTTCCTTGTTATACACGCGTAAAGCGCAAAGTTATTTAAATAGAAACAGATCATTTCAGCAGCACTAACGGTTGCCATTGAATTAAGAGGTTTTTGTTAAGCGTCAACGAACCTGTGAAACGCTTATGCTATGTTTTCTAACCTCGCCGTACGATTAGAGATTCACTTAAAGCCAAGTTTCCTATTTTGGAAAAGGTTTTGAGTGCATAGTCACGGTTTTAATGTATAGACTTACATTCCAACAGCTGTAATTTGTATATCAAACTTTGAGTAACAAAATCAATTAAGCCATAGAACACGTATAATAAATTTTAAATGAAATATGGTCGACCCTAAGATTCTGATTCAGTTAGTTTAGTAGACCAAGCAGAGAACACTGCGCAGAAAGTTGCTCCATTAGTCTAAGAAACAATTGAAAAGTAAATAGAGTATCATAAGTTCGTGTGTAAGTACATTTTGTAAAGGTTTCCTATAAAACAAGCATAATTTTCAACTATCTGCATGAAACGCAATTTCTTTAAAAGCTTACTTCGTCTTCAGTCCTATTCCGTCAAATAAACAAATAAAAGAAATTTCACGATTTCGACGTTTTCTATCTATACATATGTACGTATTATTATTAAAATTCGTTTATGAATGAAAAATGTGCATATAATTGTGAAGTAGATAGTTTGGTACAAATTTTTTTTTGTAATTTGTTCCTCATTCTTGGTCGTATTAAATAAAATCTTTCTTCTTATCCTCGACGTATAACCATATAGATCAGAAAAAGAGAAAATAAATAAACCAATAAAAAGAAGGGAATAAAGAAAATTAAGAAAACATTTACCTGTTTGCTTTTCAGCGGCTTTTAAAGTGTAGCCTTCCAGTAGAACCGGTTCACTGCGGCCACGCAAATTGATAGCATAAACGAATATTTTAAAGAAACGGCCTGAATCGAGACCAGGCGCACTTAGTACGGGATATTTCGATGAAATGTTGGCTTGCAAACTGGCTGATTGCTGTTCAAATATTTCCATAAGAAACCATTGACGTAAACCACCGTCAAATCCTGAATGTTTGAAGAATAAAACATCAGCAGCAGCAATAGCAGCAGAAATGGGATAAAACGCATAGAAAAGAGGGAAGAAAATACAGAACACTACTTAAAATGATGAAATAATAATCAAAAGAAACTGAGTATACGGAAATTAAATCTCTTGCATTTTATATTGAATAAATATAGACTTTCACAAGAAAATTTATACACATGCAAGGCACCGTACGTACAAAGTCGATGTTCAATGACTTTTACATTGCATTTTTCCATTCTTCTGTTTACTTCAGTACTCCTCTCCGAACATTTTTATACATTTTTGTTTACTTTAATATACACAATAAAGAGATTTATTGGTTTTTTTTTTACATGACATCCAGAGAATATGTTTTATATTTCTGCACACTTACCAGAGTTTACTATTACCGATTATTTTTTTTTTTTCAATGAATGTCAAATTTTTAATTTTCTTTCCTCTGCTATTGTAGAATTTATCTATTTGTCGGTCCATGCCTATGCCAGCCGACCCTCGTCCTCTCAATTTCGTTGCTTTTTTGCCTTTTGCTCTCTCTGTTTTGTCATCTATCTGTCAAGTCTTTATCCTTTCACTTGATTGCTTTATTTTTTTCAATTTGACTCTGATCATAAGCTCTAAGCAGCGAAGCGTTGTTTTCTCTTGGTTATGCTGCGTATTGGAGCCCACAAGTCAACAATAATCACTTCAATAATGCCGCGCAGAAGCTTTAGTTTATCCGAAAAGATAATATCTAATGCATGCAGCTTATGATAGGGCTCACAATAGTCTTAGTAGTTCCGCCAGTTTCGGAAAAAATTTCGCTATGAGAGTTTGGGTTCTGAACTTAGTGAAAGACCGATTCTTTACTTCATACTTGTAATTGGATGATGCAAGGAAGATAGTCGAAGGTTACATTTAAATTGATTGATGAAATTCACTGAGCACCCACTGCCAATTCTTCGACTATTTCCTTTCCATCGTTTTTAAGCTAATAAAATAAAATACCTATTTTGATATTGATGACCACATATCATAAGCTAGCTACTTCTATCTTATTGTAAATGAATTTTAGTTGAAACATTTTTTTTTTTTTTTGCATATTTTACAAAACTGTTTACCACAAATAGTTATAATGGATTCGAGAGTTTTATTGATGCATCAAAACATCTGCTTCCATACGTATATTCAAATAAAAGAAACTCTAATGGGTTTTGTAAGTTATCTTTTCATTGCAATTGATTTTTGTTGAATGTTTTCTCTCCTTTTTTGTCTTTATAAGTAAATCATACTTTTGAACGCATACGTATATAAGTACATACATATACTTATATTTTTAGCATTTTAATTAAAATTTCTGATATATGGTCTGTCTGCAAAGAGATATTCCTATAGATTTCATATGCATTATAATCAGTGCATTTCGTTTGTAACCTGCAAGCGTATGCATTGGTGGGATTTTGATCATTTCGTTGATCGCCATGAGGCTTTAAAGTAACGTAATCGTCTTTCGCCTTCGCTACTCCGACCAGCAAGTTTTGAAATTTAAAGAAAAGAAAACTTAGCTCTAGCACAAGGTATATGAAGTTTTTATCTTCAGACATCGGATATCAAAATTTTTTTTACTTTCCTCCATAAAAATCCATCTATAAAAGATCAAAACACTCATGTATTTTCTTATTAAAAGAGATCTGAAATGTGCCACAAATGTTACTTGTGCTTATCAAATTATTCAACTTTAAACTTATTTATTTATTAGAGTTATTACCTTAGCAATTAAAGAGGTCCGCAATCCTTCAAAAAAAAAAAAAAAAAAAAAAACGATCTCGTAAAATAACCGAAAAACTTGCACGTTTTTTTGCCGACTCATTCAAAACTTAGAATGAGGAAACAGGTAGTTCTATAGCAGTGCATTCAAAACTATTTTTTGTATGTAAACTCTTCAATAATTTTTGAATTATATTTTTAGATGAATTCAACAAAGAAAACAAATAAGTTTCATATCTTAAAGCTTAGATGGTAGATAACCCAGATTCGCAGTAAGCCGCCTAAGTCCTTCGTATTCGTTTAACGTACATATAACTCCGTTCTAGATATATGTGTTTACATGAATTAGTTTTATCGTATATAATAACATAAATTTATTTTAAATTTTTGATTTAAAAAATAAATGTTTGCCTTGCCTGAAATAGATCTATAAAGAGATATAATATGACGTCTTTATACCAACGATTGCCCATATACTATTGCAAATAACTCTATTTGGCTTAATAGAAATATATCTATGCTTTCTCTTTTCACATTTAATATTATGAAATTTGATATATTTTGATTTAATATTTTATTGACAATGACTGTGAGTGGATGCCATTTGATATATTAATATAAATTTGTTGGTCTATCTTTACTTGTACATGCGTAGGCAAGGAAGTAAGGAAAGACTAAAGTTTTGGAAAACCATTTCTTATCAGCGATTCCGATCGATTTGGAAATGTGCGAAAAATATAATTTACGTTTTTGAATAATCTGAGATTATGTTTCTTTTGATAGCGTTTGCTTATTCAATTATTAATAGCTAGTTTCAATCGTCAAGTTGATACATCATATATTTTTTGCCGATGAATGCAATAATAATCTAGTAAGTGTTACAGGACCTGTCATTTTCGCTAAGAAAAAAATTTCTAAGCTTTTCTACAATCTACAGCTTGATTTGATTTTAGTTACAGCCTCATGAGATAGTCTCGTGAATATGTATCTCTAAAGATGCTACGTTCGCTAGGAGTCTAGAACATGTTCAAACTAATATTAAGTATGTATATATATATACATATATATATAATTCAAAAGGTGATATTGTTATCGTTCGCTTATTATAAAGAGCAGCTATTTTTGAATCGTAAAAAACATTAGCATTTTTTTATATGAAAACGTTTTAAAATATTTATAAACTTTTATTATAACGTTTTGCTCTTTCAACTTAACGCCATGTAATGTTTTTTTAAGTAAAATTCCTACTTGTACACTAACTGAAGGTATAACTGGCTGAATGACTGACTGGCTGATTTATTGCATTATTTAGAGCTTTTTCTTTTACTTTGAATGTAAAAAACAAGCAGCAAAAAACAAAATATTCAAGAATTAAATAAAATATTCTCTAAACTGTACATTTTATCGACTACTTTCCGAACGACCACCCGAACATATCTGCTTCCATTGGCTGTCTTGAGTCAGATGGAATGAATGTAGCCAGTAAGCAAGCAGTGGTATAATGATGATGATGTATTTCTTGCTTATTTTTTCTTTAGTTTTTATTTTTTATTCCGTTAACTTTACTACATTTGATGCATTTGTTGCTGTGTAGTAAATTTCCGCTTATTTGAGTTGCATGAATTTGACGTTGACTTCATTTTAAAGGTTTCCGTACGTTCTACATAATTTATTTATATCTTTTCTTCTCTGCCCCTTTCCCGATGTCTTCCTTTTCCACTTTTCTATTTCTCTCTCTCTCTCTCTTTTTTTTTTGTCTCTTCAAGTTCCTTTTGCTGCTTAAGTTTTATGCTTTCGTTACCATTGGTCTGTGTGATACCATCTCTTTATAGTAAAATACTTGTCAGTATTATAATATACATACAATTTGTAGATATAAATGCTTTATCAACATAATCATGTACATACATACGGACAAATAAAAATGTATGTATGTATGTGCGTACATAAAACGAGTAGGGAGCAGACTTTACTTTCTGAAGAAACATATGCATTTTAAAGGAGACTCGCAGTACATGGTGTTTCATGCCATACAGCTTTAGTGGCTCATGTTTTTTAAATGAAGCTTAGAGAAGCTAAAAACTACTGCTCTATTGTAGAAAAATAATGCAAATATAGAAAAAAAGAAAACGGAAAAATTAAAAAATGAAAACATAAGAAAATGGCCCAACGAAAATGTATAATATTTAGTATTAAGACAAAGTGCTCAAATCTACCCTATATATCGCTCCATAACGAGTTCTTTTTTTTATTTTAATAGAAGTTGTAGTGATTTATATAAAAGGCCGAATTTTTGTTCCCTCTCCTCCTCACTCCCTCCTCCTTTCAAAAAATCCAACTGTACGTACAATACTGTGGTTACACTTCACATCTAAATGGCTAGTAAATGCATAACGAGCTCGAAAGCGAAAGACTGAGTGCGTTTAAGAGAAAGAGACTAAAAACTAACTTACAAATATATATTTAAATGTTAGTTTTAGTCTAGATTAGGGGGTTTTAGTGCTGCCACTTTTACCGCATTACGCTATATCTACCGCTCTCCATGGAGCTGCTTATAAATTTAATATTGTGTGCATTTCCCGTTTTTTGTTTCTTTTTTAGCTTTTCTTGCAGGCACCTTCTCAAAAAACTAGGACATTTCTTTTGTCCATTTATTATATATTAAACCTGCACTCATTTGTTACATGTTTTAACACTTTATACAATCTAGAATATTCACAGGGTGTAAAATTTTGCAAATTTCAACTATCCGACATCGTCGCGAATTCGAATTGGGATGACTTGCTATTTATAAGAAGTAATCGGAGGTGACTAGAAAAAATTTGCAAGCACAACCCTAACATACCCATATTTACTGAACTGAAATGCTTCATGCTACAAATAAGGTCCCCTAAGGCCGATTGTCAAAAGATTTTTTCGCTAAAAAAATAACTATATAAAAAAATGCGCGATTTCTGTCTTATATTTTCAGAAAACTTTCGTTTGTTGTTCGAAGTAAAAAATTGGAGTGTGCGTTGCTGCGACAAAGCAGATCAAGAAAAAAAAGCTATTCGATAGTTGCGAAATTTTGCTTAAAAATGACGACATTCCTAGGAGTTATATCGAGAGCAACCAGATAAACCAGTGATTTATAAAAGCACCGTGAATCTAAGCGTAAGCAAACTACGCGTTTCGATGAGAATATGTGATTATCTGATCTGAGGAAAATTCTGACTAGCTGGACTTGGTTATATACTCTGATATTCCCGATAATTTACTTCATATGAATGACAATAATAACCTTAGTTCCGATCACTCTCTAATGATTATCAACTACAAGGCTTCTGTTCCTATATATATCTTTGTGAACTATGTTGGCTTACTTATTGGCCAAAGACTAACATGAAAAAATTATTTACAATCAATTTCACTTAAAACTCAACTATAGACTAATTCGTCGACAGTCTTAACTTTCTATCAGAAATAAACGTATTTTATACAAATGTAGTTTCGCAACTACTTAGACGTACAGCAAACAACTGTGGCGAGTAGCTAATAGCGCTAATATTAGATATCAATCTTAGTGCTAATGCGCAGTGGTATTTCGGTAACAAAACTATTCATGCTGACCGGAATTTTCCATTCATCAAGAATCTAATTGAATCCATTTCTTCAATATATCTTATCAGAGTGAGTCATCGTGTAGGTCGCTAGGTAATGTCTCTTCTGGATGAATCAAGTGAAATAATAGTATTGAAAAGATACCATGTACCACATTTTCCATTTAATTTATTTTTATTTCTTAAATCATTTTAATCAATTTTTCAAGTTTATATAGTTTTTTGTTATTTATATAAAAATCAAATATATGCCATATTGTTTCCATTTGGGGGCAATAACCCCGCTATTTTTCGCACCTTGGTATAACATGTACTTATTACCTCCCTGGATACTTTGTAAATTAAACATGTAACAAAGAAAAACAAAAAAAAAAAACCGAAACCTTTCTGACTGACTTCTAGGTAGGAAATTGTAACGAGGAGGCAAAAGGATCTTTTAAAGATTAACGTTTTAAAGTGTATGCCGACAACTGGTTTCTATTTAAACTTAATGGATATGCACTTTGGGGGATGATTTGCTTCAGCATATAACAATAACTACATATCTTAACAGGACGTTCTTTATTCAATAAAAAAGTATATATACGTAGACAAACAGATAAATACAAGACATTCTTGTGTGCATATATGCCCATAGAATAAGCATATATTCTAAAACGTCAATTACATTGTAAAGGTATGTGGTTTCATGTCTAACGGTGATTTACTTTCCCTCAGCACCAAAGCATACGTATTGGATTGCAAATATTTATTCACCGCTACGAAAAGTCAAATACATTATAAAAACCATTTTCCTTTTCTTCTATATCATCTGTATTAACCTATATAAATCTGACCGTTTGTACGAACATAAGCATCCTGTGTGCGTCAGTTTTTTCTTTCGTTTTGCTACTCACCTTCTATACAATAGACCTCCAGAGAGTCGGAGGTTTGATTTACAACAGTGCAATTGGCTGGCATTTCTGGTTTACCGGCAGCTATTAGATGAAACACACATGGCTCCTTTTGTTGGCCAACATTGTTATCGGCCCAACACATAATGGTGCCAAAGTCCATTTCCTATAAAATAAAAGAAAGAAAGAAAAATCCGACTGAAACAAGTTTGTGAAAGAAGAACGCAACTAAAAACCATGAACTGCAAATTATTCGCTGACAACAAGTTGACGGATAGATAATGTTGTCAGAAACAACCCTCAATAAAAAAAAGGTTATTTTTTTCAGATTAATTTTCTTTTAATATAATTTTCTAATAGAATTGAAATGTTGCGCTTCCTCTGTATCGATCGTATGAAATAATTTGTTTGTGTTTTTTTCGTAATATGAGATGTAGGCAGGCTCAGGTTAAAAATTTGTTGCGGAACAACATACAAATATAGATAGAAAGTAAAAATTTTTTACTGTCATTCGGGCTCTTCCTTTTTATATTTATTTTACTTTTTAAAAAGTCTTCTACTTTCGCTAATCAAACGGCCGTAGAAATTAATCTCAATATTAGTTCTGTTAGTGTATTGTTTCGCTCTGCGTGCTCAAGGAGATATTAAATTATCGGAGCTTTTACGCCCGCAGCACAATTTACCCTACTTTTCTATACATCGTGGCAATTCAAACTATGCGATGTTGTGTAGTAAGCCCGACCCGTAATTACTTGGAGTTAGAAGAACAACTTTTGCGGAAGACAAGGTAATTCGGTTCTTAAGTCGACCCCTTCGTACTTTTTTACTATCACAAGCGGCTTAAGTTGTTTAATGGTCTATTGTAAAAACATTTTAATGAATTGATTTATATATGAATTTTCTGGTTAATTTGAATAGCAAAACTTATTTAATTATAATAATAGTTACGCATGAATAATTAATTATAATTTGCTTTTGTCAAATTATTCAGGACATTATAAAATAGTGCATTGAAAGGTTTATTAATATTTCAAGCAATCACGTACTATAGCCATAAATTATATTTAAATGATTAAGAAACTTTTCTTTATCTAAAACGTAAATGAATTTTGAGAGTCTTTATTAAAATTCATACACAATGAAATTTTTAAATATACTTTATTCACAAATTGGTTGAGAATTACATGTTTTGCCAAACTTACATCGAATCGAATGAAAGGCAACTAAACATGGCAAAAATTAAAACTTCAATTGTTGTCTTTAGTATGGAAATGAAGATTAGTTGCTAAATGTCAGCCCTGCTATTTCTGGCTATCATTCCATGTGTAGCAAGCATTTTTTCTTCATTTTTCACCTGCATTTTCTCCGCTTTTTTTCGGAATTTTAGCACAAAGTTTTATCAAACTTCCTGATATTTATAGATTTTTTCATTTCTACGTCGCCGTCTCTGTCTTCGCGTAATGTACTACATTGTATTTCTTGAAATTTGAATTTAAGTATGTGCTATGCAATTTAGTAGACCAGTACGACCTAAGAGTTAAGAAGCGGTAACAATCGTATCTGTTAATGATTTTAACTATAAGCAATGTTATGAACTTCAGCCGATTAAAACAAGGTTCTCATTTTAAATGACGCTTGACTTAATATGCCTTGTGAAGAAGGCAGCGCATGGCATGTAAAAATAACAGTATAAACACGATATGTTGAAACTTATTGACAGCTCACCCATCAATCACTGACATTGTGCTTTTTATGTCAAGCATTGATTTCTCAAAATCTAAACACTTTAGACATGCTGACGTGCTTCGGTGTGTACAGCGACACAATAACGAAAGGAAAACTTAACCACATTTCAATTTGCATTAATATTAAGAGTGCATACTCAGGCCGACACCAAGCATGACATCTAACCGCACTTACAGTACAATTATAAATACGCATTATTTGCTGTACATGGAGCCTTGAGTGCGAACTTAAATTCTACGTATGTAATTATTATTATATATATTAAGTAGCATTAAATAAATACTTATTTAAACGTATTTAATTATCCTGTAGTGGTTACCATTAAGTAACTATTAATTTGCAATAGTCCTTTTAAATGGTGGTTCCAGCCTTTCCCCAAGACCATTGTAAACTGTTGACTAAAAGACGTGCTAGTACAAATCTGAACTCGGTTTAAATGTAAAAAAATTCAAGACCAAATTAATCTATATCTAGTCCATTATTATATCAGGCATCGAAAAATAGGAGAATATTCATTTCGTCAAAACCCAATTTACAACATCCAGACAAAAGCATCAGGAAACCCATCAAATATATACACATTTATCCAGCGCCAAATTCTGAGACGATTAGAGCATTTCCACCGGTCCGTCTAAGTAATGGCTGCGTTAAACATTCTCCTAGTTGTGGAAAAGTCACGTTTGCAGTCTCGGCTTTCCCGTTTTTTGTTAATTACTCATAAAATACAACAAACCCCAATGGAAAAATCATCAACGTATCCCTACTATTATCGAATATCAATTTTTATTTTTTTAGTCTTTCTTAAGATAAAAATGGTATCAAGAATTTGATCACAACCCAACGTAATGTTGTTACCTCTTTTTAATTTTTCTGATATAGAGGGAATTTTCTGAAGCGTATGTACAAAATCTCTTAATAATCACCCGTGATCAATTTAATACAATGTGCATTTCAAAATCCCACCAAGATTTATCACCAACATTTATCTCAAGTGTTGTTTGGCAAATCACCATAGAAATATGCATAAATGCACGCAAAACTTGCAGAAATTGCTAAAACTTATTACAATAATAAAAATAGTCAATCTATTCGGATTAATTTTCGATCATAAGGTGATATTTCCAGAGTTAAAAAAGGTGTTTAGATAAAAATCGTGAACAATCAGTCGTTCTCAAAAACGGCGTCTTTTTCTGACCTCAAATGGAACATTCTTCGTAAAGATATATATGCCTAGGCGTATAGAAGTCAATCGACCCGACAATTTAAAACATTTATTGTGTAATTTGAAACACATGCATTGTTTCATGAAAATACATTCATCCTAAGTTGTGCGCCTCACACTTGGTTACATGGCTTCGTAAATAAGCAAAATTGTCTGCTTTTTGTCTGTATTTAGCAAAATGTGTTAACGTTCACAGAAATTAATAGTTTGGTAATGCTTACAAACTGGAAATGTAATCGGATCGTATGTTTCTGAAAATAGAAGTGGTATTGCAGTGAGTGTCAAATGTCTTTGACTTCAACGTCGTAGTTTTAATAAGATCGTGCAACATGAAATAAATCTCCTGAAACAATCAATTATTGACAATAGAGTTCAAGGAACGTGTAATCAGCAGAAACGTCGATATTAATCGTTGATATAATTTTATTGGACTTTTTCTCTTGGCTTATGTTGGTTATGTTATTGATTTATTTTACTAAAACAAAAACAATCAGTGACCTTAAAACGAAACTATATCTGGAAAGAGTGCAGATTCGTGTAAAGCAAGGGTTACAAATTCCTAATCCGTGATCGAAGTTTTGCAAAACTCTAGATCGTTTATATGAATGCATTTTTAAACAAAAATGGCGTGAACTAATATTTATAGTGGGCTAACCGCTTCGCTTAATAAATTTATTTACGTATGAGAAATGGTTGAAAAAGTAATCCGATCCGGAGCATTTTCAATGCCGTTCATCTTTCGGCCGAACCGCTTCGTTGTATCAAACTTTATCAAAATGTCTACAAATTTGCGATCTGTACATTACACACAAGAATATAAGACAGATAGACACTTTTAGACCAATGCAAAGATAGCTTCTGAATCGATCGGCATAATAAAAAATAGGTCTATCTTAAGTGTTTTTGAGTGTTGCACATACTCGTAAAAACTTATACAAAAGTGATGTAATGTATTATTACGAAAATCGTACATTTGATGATTAAAGCTTCATAAAAACTAGTCGATGTTCCAAAAGGCAAAATTCCAAAGAAACGAAAACCTAGAGACACAATTATGACGCGTTACCTGCCATATGCAGCTTGTGACTCACGAAAAAATTAACAATTACCAGAAATTTAGCAAAGAAAGGGATTAAATATGTTGCGATTAATTTAGGATATGCTAACTTGCTGGTGGCAAGATTAGCTGAAATTTTATACTTGCATCTCCTAAGAATTGTAAGTAAAATCAATACTATCCTAAAGATCACAATTCATTAATACGAACTCCTTAGTTATTGTCTTAATGATTTCTTGCATTTACGACACTCCGCTAGTTGTCAGCCATCCCGACAGACAGTTTAAAATCTTTATCCCTGAATAAAACAGAGGCTTATTACTCGTTGGAACGCTTTCTAAATATTAGGTTGTATTTGAACTTCTCCTCGGTTTATTGCGCGAGATGGTGTTGATCCCTATATATCGAGGAATATTCACCTGATTGTCTCAAACGACCATGTGCTTAAAAGGTAAAATTTCAGCTTAGATTTTTTGTGAAGATTGCTTTCTAATTCTTTGCTCATCTATTGATTTGGAAATGAGAGAAATATCTAACTAAGTACGCTATGTGATGCTTCTTTACTATAAACAAGGTAAAAACGCTGCAAAAAAAAAAAAATAAATAAATGTGTGAAGTATACGGTGAGAATGCTACGAGTGAACCTAGGGGTGCTTTGCTCGATTCCGTTCCGGAAATGTCAATGTCAAATATCCACATCGCAAACACTGAAAAATTCGATGAAATTTTGCAACTGGTGGAGCAAGACCGGCACTCAAGCTGTCAGGAAATAGCGGAGGCACTAAACTAAACATCAACCACAAAGAGAAGCTCGAAACGGTGGAGACTTTTCAATTTGATCTATTATATGTGGTACCATATTTGAGGGGCAGAAAAAAACAAGCAAACGATTGATCATAATTGCCACAATAGGCGCAGCTCCTTTTTGCGAAATGGTAGAAAGTCCGAGATTTCGAGGAAACCATCTCTTTGTAGTAAGAAATGTTTTTTCTTGTATTGTAGAAGGGCCAAAGCATTTCTTACGCAGATACAAACAAAAAATATTTTGAATGATTTACATGGTCTCTCTTTAAATTTACATTCTTAAGAGTCAGAAATAACAAGAAAGTGCAGCTTTTCGTAGCAGACTTACGAAGATAAT